TGTACGTCTAACCATTGCTGCTTAATTAAATTAACTCTCTTTACTCAAGTCAAATTTTAAACAATAATCTAACATTTTCTTGCTTAGAGCTCTTAGACCATTAACTGATTTTGTCTGAACTTCAAATTTGCTACCTTCCTGAAGCTAGTAACTATATCACAGAGACGCATCAAAATCTTAGGTTCGTAGTTTCATTATTTATATGTATTCATTTATTGAAATTCATCTGTTTCACATATCCTTTACTTAGCAAATTTTGCAGGTAGGATTAACGTCAGTTATTTAAATTGTTATTCTTCACCCGGTAGTATTCTGTATTGGGGAGGCTGCGGACCATCAATATGAATCTTTGATGTTCATCTGGAGCATTAATATCTTTCAAGATCTTTATATATACCGCGGGATGGAATAATTTGGCACACACACCGCAGTTTCAAATTCGGATTTGGTTGAGAAGACATGATGGGATGAGATGATAACTGCGTGTGCTTGTTTTAACGTGCAAATGTGGCAAGTGCACTGATCACAAGTATGGAGGTTATTTTTAATATTTTCCAATATTTTCAACTGTGAGTGATGAGCTAGTCATTATTGATAATTTATATTTCTCTGTGGAAGAATAAAATTGTGTGGGCGTCATCATGAGTTGTAATGCAAAGTTATATGTATAATAATAAATGATGGCGGATGCTTGGTTGTAACTGATTTGACACTGAAATTAGCCGCGCTATAGATCATATATCAATTTACAGATGCTATTGTGGTCTTATCTCCCATACATTAAAACCTTTAATTTCATCGGGAAACTTATGTGTTCATATGCGTTTGTTGTGAATGTTGAGACGACTTGCAAACAGTTTCTTAAAATATTATTGATACTTTCAATTAACTTGCTTCAGCATCTGCATGAAGGTTCTTTCTACTCACCTCGTACGGGGTTCGTCACGATCGGATAAGGCATTGGGAACTGCAGTGATCGAAAAGATTCGGTCTCGAATTTTTCGGAAGTTCCTCTTAGCATCCGAAATCTGCATTTCCAATCGCGCCACTTTCGTGAAATCTGCTGCAACACTAAAAACTTGTCTGGTAGGCTAAAAAATGGTTTCAGGGTTAAAATTTTTTTTATGTTTACTGGATGCTGAAGGATATCGATTGGCCTCCAGTGACTATTAACTGACGGGCCATTATTCAGCCACTGATTTATTGTGGAAAATTGCTCCATCGAACTGATGGAGTAGTGTTATGAGGTTAGCTGGGAATGATCAAATGCCTAACGCTGATTACGAAATATTTTTAAAGAAAAATTATAGAGAAGACGTTCTCATTCCTCTATGTAATAAAAACTATTCCATATTTGATTACAATAGTTTATAATACTGACCACAAATTCTACAATTTCGTAATTTTGAATTTTTCGACCATAAAAGTAATTTTTAGCATCGACTGAATTTTCCAAAACGTATAGCGTGAAATCTAACGAATATTTAGGCTGGAAAAAGCCGCGAATTTGCATTTGCATTTGCAAAGTTTGCGTTGCCAAAATTATTTGCACAGACTGAATCACTGGAATATAAACAGGGGCAAAACATTAACTAAATTATTAGGAACGAAACTATTTGCTTACCGTGTTTTTCTTTATTTTTACCATATTTCTTTAGTATTTATATTACTTTAACATTAAATATTAATTGATTCCAAAACCTTCTCTTCACAAGTTCGGGGCATTCTAATATTGTAGTATTCAGGGCCTTCATTCCCTGGTCTCTGTCGCTTGTAATTGGTGTTTAACTCCTTAAATTGAAAGCAAACTGTCCCGAGACGGTTTCCTCTCTCGCCCTCCAATGTTCCTGACTCGAAGCAATCAGATTCGCGACCGAATCATGGAGACCTAGTTACATTAACGCTGCCATGGCGAGTGCCACGTTTATTCAACTTCTTGTTGTTACGTGGAAACCCATTGCGTTAAATGCTCATTTCTTGCTTCTCGAACGACATATGAGCTTTAACAGTTTTTATATGGGAGACAATTCAATATGCAGTTAACTTTCATGAATGCTTGAACTGCGCATCGCGTTTTCGCATCATAATTTTGACTAAAATTTCAAATTAACAAATAGAAAGCTAACAATGTTCGCATACAATTAGTTTTCCTATTCCACTGAACACATTTCATGAGCTCGTCACTGACTGTTAAACAGACTTATTAAGGTAACTTTGAATCATTTCCATTTAGCCCCTGAGGTCATATAGCACACCTGACATTGCAGTACAGCTCTCTTCCTCGAAACTTCATTTGCAGTTAAGTTCATGTGCAACGCTGACTTGCATCCCAACTCAATACGTGTCAAGGTGGCTTCTTTAGAGTCCACCATACAAAGCACGCAGTGTTGCTTCTATGAAGCTCCATCGTGAAGCTTTACTGTAGCGAACCGCGGCAGATATTCGCGTTCCTGAGCGCACCATTCAATGCAGGCGTCCAATCGCATTGTCAGGCCTTAGCCTGAGCTCATACCTAAACGTCTATCGCTTCTTCTCAGAACAGGGAAAAACCGTGTACGTAAGCTGTTTTTTTTAGGCTTTGTAGAGACTTTTTGAAATTTCAGTTTACGAGAGCACCTACTGACTTTCAAGATGGTAGTATGTGAATTGATAAGTGCCTCTTTGTTTAAATAACAGATTGCGTCGATTCGTAATTTTTAACCTGATGTGCGATAGTCTCGAAACCCTTGCCTCTTGGAAGCTGTGAAGCCAGATTATTATAATCAGGATAGATGTGCAACCGGATTATTATACTACAGCCTGTAGCATTATTATTCATAAAGTGAGGCATACTTCATAGTACGTCTCGGACAATTTTACGGTCGGACTCGCGGCTGGTTTATACGGTAAATCAAAATTAAACCTGTATGATTCATTATTCATAAGGTAGATCATTATCGTAATTCAACCTTTGGGATTATTATTCCTTCACTGGACCATAATTCTGATTCAAACTGTGGGATTATTATTCATAATGTGAGCCTTTTTGCGGACCCGGGATGGTTAGATCACGCATACTTCATACGCATAGAACTTCATTACGCATACTTCATCACGCATAAAACTTCATTACCGGCTAATTACTCAACTTCATTGGAATACATTGAGAATTTCGTTGCACATTTTAGCTGTTCCACACTGCAGAACAGCTAAAAGACACGAAGATGTTCTCCCTTCGCTTACAAACTTTTTGTCCTTTATTGGAACAAAGACATGATGTTATGCCAATTTTTGGAGCAAAGGCATGATGTTATATCAATTAAATAAACCACACGCAATCTCACAACTATAACTATTTCGATAACCACAATCATTGACCTCCGTGCGCCTCAAACCGCACTTCGTTAAAAAGAGTGGCTCGTCGAGTTGCGTCTTTGATTAGAATCTGCGACATCAAAGAGCTTGTTAATAAACAAGAAGGAAAATAGACAGATTTGCTTCAGGCAGAAACTGGCATCGATTTCATGAGTGAAATTATGAAGTATCGACTTACGTGCAAACTGGCGTATAGGTACAAAGGGTGGCTCTTCGAAATCAGATTGAATACAAGAAGTGTTATTGATCTTATAATTTTTATGATGCAACAGAATAATTTTCAAAGTTATGTTCGAGGATATTCGTAATATCTATTTATGTGATATTTTTGGGTGTGTGCATGGATAGGTTAAAATTAAGCTAGAGGATATCAGATTCAAGTAATTTAATATCAAAAGTTACTCATTACCAGGCACGCTACACCAGGAAAATTATCAATGTCAGTAAGGTCATTTTATGAATTTTACCCTCGAGATTTGAGGCTCCCAAATTCCCCTCACTCTCTCCATATTGACTCACGTGAGGAGCGCTGCTGAGAAAGTCATCCCCAAGAAGTTGCACTCATCTCATCTGTCGCTCAATCTTGACAAGACAAGTCGTGGATGAAACGACAGGATTATGATCGTTAGACGTCATTAACGATTAAAAGGATTTATTGAGTGGTGGAATGCCAATTCCACCCCTCAGTTTGCAACCCAATTACGTAACAGATCCGCAGTCAGATTTCAATCCCTGCGGGAAGGATCACTTTTCGTGGCAGGGCCAAGGCTGTTCAACGTCCTACCAAAGGATCTAAGAGAGGGGGAGTTCACCCTGGAGACCTTCAAGAGACAACTGGACGTTTTACTGGGCACAATCCCAAATCGACCTCCCCGGCAACACTACCAGCGGCGAGAAGCAAGCAACAGCATCGTGCATCAGGTGGCCCAAATGAGGGCGGATGAACGATAATCAGAGGCGGCGATTCATCGTGGCCTGGGACTGCTATGTCCCAAACAAGTACCAAGATTACCAAGACCAAGATTAGAGTGAAGAAGTGCATTTCTTATCAGTACATTTCCTGCGGTATTGTGTTTTTCGAAATATGCAAGTATTGTAAAATTATGCTCGCGGTGAGTTGTAGTTCAACCATTCAGATTAGCAATAAAAGATTTCTGCCACAAGTATTCAAATTATTTTCGATGATCCACACTTGCCAGAACGAATTTATTGCGATTCATTCACATGCAAGAAATTATCTTCTGGCATTAGAACCTGCATTAGCACGTAGCACGCTTATATAGAATGTTTAGTAAAATTTTTTTATATGAATTCCCATCGTACAGGGAAAACGGTGCAAAAAATTATTATCAGTACATGTTAGGAAACACTATAGAAAACAGAAGAACGCCACTTAATTTTATACACTTCTAACGATATAGCTTCATTGTTTCACCTTTCAAAGTCTGCTTTACTGAACGATGATGGCAGAAAAAGATGTTAAAGCAATTTGGAGTATTTGCGTAGTGGTCCGTGCTTTAATTTCGCCATATTGATTTTGACGTCCGATAATCCATCCGTTAAGTCTTCATTCGGTGTTGACGTGTTAACCGTAGCTTTCTATTCTCAGCGGTGCCGCACTCAAGCAAGCGGCTCTTGAAGTAACTAGAGTTTGATCTGTGTGTCCGTAGGCCAAATTAAAATAAACTATTCGTCCTCTGGTGAAGATAGGAAGACTCGTTTGGCGTTGAAGTTAATTGGAAGAGTTCAAAGTAAGGTCCTGTTTATTATGGGTAAATGTCAATCTTGACAGCTCGCCCAGCTTAGCTAGCCCACTCGGTAGCAGGCGTTTTAGTCTATAATTCACATAAGTTAAGAGTAATGCAATGCGGGTTACCTTTTAATCAGGCTGGTGCGGTGAATTTGTTTTGAATCAGCGTTGGGTTAGTAATTCCTGTCAGATGCCTATAAACGTAATAAGCGAATGACAAATGCAAACAAAATTGCGCAACTACTAGAAAGTATTAAAGATTGTTGGATAATCGCCTATGATTGCTGCTTCAATTCTTCACAAACAAGAACGGATCGCATCAACGCGTATATTGAAGTAATAACCGCTCAGATTTGTTCTCTTGACGCCTTGTGAGAAGCAGAGCTTTCGTGTTCTGTCTGAATTAAGTTTTAGTTAGTCTACATTGGATTGAGCCGTAGTTTTTAAAGCGTTGGCCATGCTCAGACTACCTATAGCTATTTAGAAATGAACCCCAAAGAAGTCTCTGACGTCATAATGAGGAAATTTTTTGCTGCTGCATGCATGTCAACAACGGAGAAATTTCTCACCAGCGCTGATTACTTTGATCTACTTACTTACTTTGATCTGCGACCGCGAATTAATACACATACATATGAGTGGTGGCTGAAGGAAATTTTTCAAGGTTAGAGATCGTGCTTCCACGTTACATGTCAGTTATATTTTAGCCATTCAAGGCTTTGATGGTTAATTACTTGAACTATATTACAGACCATATTAGGAATCGTCTCATTGTGCAAGGAGAAATAATGGTTAACAAGACTTATCCTGAAACTCGGAATTACATCCGACAAACTCCACACTACAACGGCATTAGTTATCACTACATCGAGCAGATATGGAACACGGTAGGTTTTTATCAAATGTACCAAATTCTTTCTAAATTCACCAACGACCAATTTTCTGTAACTTGCACAATGTTCTGGAATCGCAAACTGGGCGCGTCGAGGCGAAAACGTCCTTTTTCTGAAAAAACAGCTGTTATTTTCGCTCTTATGATGCAGTTCGGGTTTTTGTATGGAACTCCTTATTGAGAGGCCGTAATACCGGCTTTTTTTTTTATTTCGAATTCATTTTCTATAGACACATATGATGAGTAACCTCGAATAGTCGACGTTGCATTACTAACTTGGGAAAATTTTCATGGTATGTATTGTGCAGATTTACCCGGCCATAGACGTGGCGTTAGAAGATTTAGACGACATTGAAGTTATTTTTTCTACCCGAGAGAGCGAAGATATCTTCAGCAGTCGAGCTTCCTATCATATAAAAGTGAGTTATTTCTTCAAATTTGAGGCAATCTCTTCTTGTGAGGATATATACACCCTGGTCTTGCTCGCTTGATCTTATTCGGTTACTGGAAAATTCACCGCAGAAGAATTTGAGATCGTAAAAATTTTACGAATTTCTGTGAATGGGCATTTCAAGAAATGATAGAAGCATTATTGCACTGATGTGATAAGAAACTTGTTGCTTACTCATGATCGATGCATGTAGATGGTTAATTGTCACACGATTGGCGGAGTTTCATAGTCCGTCTCTAAGCAATTATAATGCATGGATATCATGCGTATTTTAGCCATGAGTGATAATATCAATATCACCAGTTCTGTCTTTCCATCATTAGTTTATAATGCAACGAAAACGCCCACTTGGAATATTAAATTTCTTATTTCTTGCTGAGATTCAGCACATGTCCTTATTCCTATTGACGGACTATAGCTCTAGCAAACGATTAGTGTAGAGATTTGTCGCTAGCTCAAGGATCACGGATGTAAAGTGCTTCAGAGGTCCCTACAACTAACGCTAAACAAGCTCTATTAAAAACCGAATACGCCTTACAAGGTTTTTCCTACTTCAATCTTTGAAGGCCGAATGCCCTTGAATAACGAAGGTTCCTGCTGTGCTGTTTAAGTTTGAGTGTTCAACATTATGCCCGTTTTTTAACCACTTATCATAAAGAATACGTTGTCTTTTATATTCGCGATATAAACCCCTCGAAGGGATTTTGAGTCTTACTCACAAATTTGTCGTTATAGGAGCTCACACTTGACGCATACGTTGACGAGGATAAGATTTATTTTAGCTCCTGTTGAAGAGGATTCTCTACGTGTGAACTTATATTTCACGAAGCACGCCGAAAACTTCCTGAAAATAATTTGAGGCTTTAGGCTGTGTGTTACCCAACGTCGGTGGTCATCATGACGGAGGAAATGGCCACTTTTTATCCCTACCTCCCATATCCCAGTGCCCGCGCTCATCAGACCCACATGCAATTTTGCCCTTACCCCTTCATCCTTTTTTCCTAATCTGTCGACCGATTGGGATCCACGATCCCGAAATACAGTTTCTTGTGCCACTTCGCGCGTCCTTGTGCCATCTTCTCTACTCTTGAGTGTATATTCCAGTGCCCTCGCTCCAAGAAATTTTGCTCGGCCTGTAGAAAGATCAGGCAATTTTAGTAGGGTCTGATAACATTGATTTAGGACACTTCATTTTACATTTATTCGTAAATATCGTCGAATGAAGTATATTATACATTTTTAGTTGCACATTACGCTTGCTGTCCTACATTCCGCAGTCATGGTGGGAAGTCGCTGAAGCTGTAATCTGCGATGTTTCAAGATAGTAAATAGGTATGCGTAGAGACATGACGTGTAAATAAAATGTCTTTCAGTGCAGGATTTAGTCCGATTTACATTAACTAATCGGGACCGAATTTAACAATTTATTTTCAGATGCTTCTGAAGGGCCAGCACTATTATTTGAAGATAACAGAGCGTCTGATAGATGACCAGCCAGAGCTGCGTCACCATCAGCGCATCGACGCGGATTTCGCGCTCCCCGCCAGCACCTAGACCCTCACCATCAGTCACCAATTTCGTAACAAATGGTCCCGGAAATTCCCTCTTGCCCACTCCTACACGAGAAAGTCCTACAGATGTCGGCCCATCGTTAAATCTCTTCTCATCGACCCCATAATTTCTTCTTGTCGAGCCTCTAATTATTTTATTCTCAGTTGATAGTCTCTGAACTACTGCACGAGTTCATATCATTAGAAAAACTTGCTACGTGCTATCGAATTTCCTAAAATTGTTGTAAGTCACAGGGTATGAACATTATCGAATGTGATTATCGTTACGAGTTGCACGTTTTAACAGAATAGTGATAGACGATTAATAATCAATCCTCCATTGTTGCTGAGAACGTGCAGCCGTGTGTGTCAAATATTGGTTCCCATTGGCAAGCACAAAGAATTTTAGTAAAGCGTGTTGCTGCTCGTTGTGCTGTTTTTAGTTGAATTTTCTACTATCGAGAGTATGTTCTTAACACAAAAATAAATTTGTTTAACAGAATTGTATTTGCCGTTGAAGTATTAAATATTTTACAAACCACTTTGATCACTTAACCTTGGCTTCCATTTTAACCTCCATTGGCAAGGGATTAACATGTCTTGACAAAATTAACCGTACCACATCAAAACTTTTCGATGGTCATATTGACCAGCCTACCCGTTTGATACTTCACTGGACACGACGGGATTGAGAATAACTTGTTTACTCAGGATCTGGCCAAAAAAGGAGTCTAGTTTCGATTGATCAAGATGGAAGATTCCGTAGGAAAAATGCCGATAGGTGAAAATTTAACTCGTACTGATGAATATTTTGAAAGGTAATTTTTGATCTAGCAGTTTTTCCCTCGTAATTTGCCGTTTTATGGGAGTATTTATTGCCTGGAGTGTAAATATACTAGCTTGTAAGTTAGATCTCGTCAGTTCACAACGTTGCTCGTGTGTGATCTGCGAGAGATATGGACAATCTTGAAGATTTGAAGGGTAATGTATAGAAACTGTGTCAATTTGAATAGGGAATTAGACGAAAAATTTTCTGATCGCCTGAGTGTTCTTAAGACTTTAATTTCGATTCAGTGCACTTAGCTTCGCTTCCACTTGTATGAATCCATCGTCCAAGCTGAAGGCCACGGCGGTCAATATTCTGTGAGTCGGAAGACTTCTGCGATTCTTGAGCAATAGAGCAGAGAAGTTCAGTCGTGCCGCGATTAGCTGAAGTGGATGAAAACGGTTCAGATTATTTCAGATCCGAATCCACTTTTGTAAAAAAATGCAAGACCAAACTCCCGCAGAGCTGGCCCTCATAATGGTTCCAGATAAAGTCAAGTTTTGGCTTCCGTCTCGTTCTTATTCGTTTGTTCCTGAGCGCAGGGGAAAATGCGTGGAGAGTTCAAAGGTGAATCGTCGGAGATAAACCATGATAATGTTCATAGAACTGAACATGGAATTGTATCTCGACTAATTTCACTTCTTTAGATTATTGTCAAATGCGATATATATGATTGTCTGGTCCAGTGGTCCTGATTCCTGATTTCTGTTAGAAGCTGTTTGCCATTTAAAAAGCGGGTAAAACATGAATAAGCTCCACCAGAAAAGCGCTCAGGTTTTTCGAATTTGATTGCATTTGGATTAAAACGAATAGTCGAACTTACAAGGGCTCTCCTTCCTCGCAGTTTATGGCGTAATTATAATTCTTACTAATTTGGTAACATTATAAGCGACTGAGAAAGGAAGATTTCCAACATCAATAACGCATTTCATCCGTTGAATGGCATCGCGGTTATCAAAATCGACTCGCCGCTTGCAGATGCATACTTTAATGGAATGCGATCACTTGTTTTTTTCTTTCCTGGCGCAGTAATTGTAAAAATAGATTGAACTAGCGAAGTAGAAATGCCTTTGGGTGCTTTAGGGAACTCATTGGCGGGGAATAATAAACGATGAAATGCGGGAGGATGAACGATAATCTGTCGCACGTAGTGAATTCAACCAAAACATTACACCCCTCAATACTGTGAACTATTATTATCTGCGTAAACATGTTTTTTATTATATAGAATTAATTTGAACATGTTTTTGTCATCTTTTGGTGAATCATAGAAAATTTGATCATGTTTCTCTCATGCTTATTTGGTAGATAGAGAATTTAACATGTCTATTGCATGTTTTGTTGGATGTCATAGAAACTTGAATGCTCGTGATGCACGAGACAGAATGCGGCACAAGTTACTTGTTAACTAACACATATCAAATTTGGTCTCGAAAAAGATAAACTTCTAGCTGTCCAAAATTCTTCAATAAACAAATTCAGTTCAACTCTTATTTCGCCCTCTCTTTTATTCGCCGTAACTCTTTTTATTCGCCGTTACGACCACGCGGCCGCTCCTCTGGGCCTGGCTGCTGACTCCCGAAGGTGCGATCACTTCCCTGGGTCGTCCCAAAGGGGTACCGCTGTGTGAACTTCAACAGCTTCGTTTCTACTAAACGTTTTTTTTTCAGAGGCAAGTGAACTATGAATATCGCGAGAAAATTATTTTACTTCACTTGGCATGGGTTTATCCTAATAATGACGATTTGCACCTAATATTGCTTCCGATCTCTGAAATTCATGGAAATTGACGAACTTGGTTTTACTTGACGCATCATATTTTAAATATGTGAATGCAGCTGCATTCATATTTTGAATGCAGCTATACTGTGAATGCAGCACACCATAAGGCAAATGTTCCGGCACCATACGGTGATTTTGAAACACCATACAGTAAAAATAGTGTGATGTGATTGTAGCATCCTGTGCTGCGCATGTAGCACACCGTGCTGTGACTGTAACACACATAAAGATACCATACTGTAAATACGGCACACCATGCTGTGAATCGGATATTGTCTGAGAAAATATCGAATGTAGTAAATCGTGAACTTGGAATTTTAATCTACTTATAAATAACGTGCCCTTACTGTCCAGCACAAAGTTTCTTATATTTGTAAACAATATCGGCCGGCTCGGACATGCGGCGAGTCGCACTACACTTCTCCCAAACTCTGTATTGTCGCACCTGGCACACTGAACCCTGCATCCTGGCACACTGAACCCTGTATTGGCGCACTACCTCTGAACCCAATATTATTGCTTTACCCCTGAACCCTGCTTTGTCGCACTACTACTGAACCCAATATTGTCGCACTACCTCGGAACTCGGCATTGCTTCACTACCCCTAAACCCTGCATACCCGCATAGACGCCCAGCCCTATATTGCGACGCCTATTGACGTCAACTGGACCGAGAGATTTCATTTTAGAAGAGCAGCGGCTGCAAAATGATGCACCATGCGGTAAAGCACTCTTGTCATTTCAATAGTATCCATTAAGCAACACATTTCGTAAAGCAAATAAATTTGGTTCAAGGAATCAACATGTTTTCAATTTCGCAAGACCACCGGTGAAACCTGGGAAAATAAATTTTATTCGCACGATAAACTCTACGACCCACTAAAATATGAAATTTCATAGGTAAAAAGATGTGGCTTCATTTATATATGCGTATCATCGCTATAAGGCGTGAACACGTGTGCGGCAAATATCTGATGCATTGCAGGCATATCCATAAATTCTTTTGAAAAGTAATAGGGAAGCCCAGAAACGAAAAAATATCATGGAATCTCTTGCATGAAGAAGCCCTAAATCAAGAACATTATATTACTCTTTCACTCTCTTATAAGCAAATAAAATACAGGGAAAATTAATTATATCTTATCTTTCACTAAAACGTTTCGGAGACCACTTCCTTCATTAGTTTCAAAACTTGGAGCATAATAGTAAAATCAATAGATGAGAGACAAATTTATACGAGAGCGATTAAAACTGAATGGCCGAAAAAATGGACCAAGCAACCTGAAAGCCTAACGATTAACAAACTCAAGATGATGAGAACTGCAAGCTTTATTAAGGTAAAGTTTCCGTCTAAGGTCTTTAAATACTTGCGGAGATTCCAAATACTTAAATCCAAAGTACCAGAGTTGTAGCCAAAGATTATAAATCGCACTCCGACACAGTCACGTCGCTCTGTTAAGCGTCACGTCAGTGGAGCTTAAGCTCGACTGACGTGGAGCTCGTCAGTGGAGCTTAGCTCCACTGACAGCTCCGCTCCGACACAGTCAGCACAGCTGAGTGGAGCGGATGTCAGGCGAGTGATCCATGAAGAAATGGTGAATTTGCTTGGCGTGTCTTTGCTTTTAAATCCGTGGCTAACTTTCGTCTTAAGCAGATTAGAGATATAAGTACTTATACTCTTTTTGGATGCTCCAGAATTTCAGTTCAGTTTATGCAACTCGAGGGTCTTTCTTGATCTAAACGTGTCGTGATTTAAGAAGAAACAACCCACTGTCATTTGCATTATATTCAATGTGATGTGATATGTTGCAAATTTTTTCAGAGAATTAGCTTATGAGTTCAGTAATATAGTCAATTGTATCTACATTATACTAGATTTTGCAAAATGAATAGGGTTTTAAAGGTCAAAAACGTACTCAAATTCATACAAAAATATTTGAATGAATTACAAATACAAACGCACAGTCCTTGTATTAGGATCTGAATTTGAGGCAGAAAATTGACTCTTTCAAGTACTCCTGGAGGCAGAGTCCTTAAAACTTATTTACTTCCATCGAACGTGGAATTTTTTTATACAAGATTTATCGTGATCCAACGATCGTTGTCAGTCTTCTTAGTCGCATGTATGCTGTAAGCATCCACAGGAATTTCGAAAATCCATCGATAATATCTCGCAAATAAGCTCTGTTTTGACACATTGAATGTTTGATGATTCCCCGAATCCATGATCTAAAACAATATTTTACTCGATGCATCATTTTCACCTCTAAATGTCTTGTTTCGAAGGCTTTAGCAGTCTTGCTCTTGGCAGGCCACAACTTATTGTTCATCGCGCTTTGGTCAAGAAATACGTTATATTTTTTACGGATCGTCGAAGTAAATTCTTCCAACAAATCGACCTATTCCAACTTGAAACATAAATTTGTAAATATTTTGGCATTCGAGTATCAGATGAATTAGCTCGGTTTAATAGGTCAGAAATCGGTTTTCGATCTAAATCTAACAGTGGAGAGCGTTGATAATTTTATAATTTCAAACAATAACATTTTGTCGTTGGCATAGCATGACTTATATTTCTCAGCCAACCTCGATTTTATTTAAAATTCGAAGAGTTCAACCAATTTAACGATTTTGACAGACGCGAGGGATGCGGACGCACTGAATTCTCTTCTTCCAAAGGTTTTTCTGTTTCGTTCAATTTATTGATTAAATCACCCCAGCTTGGACACCAATAAACTTCGTTAGGTTCACTAGAGCCGAATAATTATTTCTTCATAATCTAACTGCACAATAACCTCAAGCCTAACCCAACTCTCATTAAATAGATAAGACTCATTAAGTTGCAAGTGCACCTTGCATGGCTCGTAAATCACCATGATGACACTCAACTGCCTCTGAATCAGATCGTTAAGAGACCGCGAAGGATTTCAA